AGCAGGGGACACGTGGCGTGTATCGCGCGACTAAACGCTGGGGTCCTGCGTCCAGTCAATCTAACCGGTGCGTCCGGTCGCTGAAAACTCTAGTTTGGTTTTGGTGAATTGATGAAACCCTAAGTGCTAACCTAGTTTATCAAAGTGATTATGATATAGGTGGCACTACTCCAAGTGATGAAGCAAATGAAGATCATGACATGATGATGGTGATGCCATGGTGATGATCAAGTGCTTGGACTTGAAAAGAAGAAAGAAAAACAAAAGGCTCAAGGCAAAGGTATAAATGATAGGAGCCATTTTGTTTTAGTGATCAAGACACTTAGAGAGTGTGATCACATTTAGGATCGATAGCCGTACTATTAAGAGGGGTGAAACTCATATCGAAATGCGGTTATCAAATTGCCACTAGATGCTCTAACTCATTGCATATGCATTTAGGATCTAGTGGAATGCTAACACCCTTGAAAATGTTTGTGAAAATATGCTAACACATGTGCACAAGGTGATACACTTGGTGGTTGGCACATTTGAGCAAGGGTTAGGAACTTCACCGACGGAGTGTCCGCCCGTAGAGTGCGGACAGTCTGATGGTGCCACCGGCGCCCTAGATAGAAAAGACGGAGGTCACTAGAAGTGACCGGACGCTGGCCTTGGTTGGACCGGCGTGTCCGATCAGTAGAAGCAGTGAAGACACAGGCGTCAGTCTCTGACCGGACGTTGGGTCACTTAGTGATCGGACGCTGGAGGGTTGCGTTCGGTCCTGCTGACGTGGCAGCGCACAGGGGAGTCATCGTGTGACTGGACGCTGGGTGAGTCCGGTCAAGCATGACCGGACACGTCCGGTCGTGAAAAGTCGTCTCTGGATGCTTACTGGAAACGACCGGACGCTGGGGCTCAGCGTCTGGTCACTTTAAGCTGCTGCGTCCGGTCATCATTTGACCGTTGAGATCGGGCGATTGACATTTGAAGAGTGGGGACATGTGGCACGCATCGCGTGAACGGACGCTGAGGTCCAGCGTCCGGTCACCCCGTGCTGTGCCCAGTGAAGGGGTACAACGGCTCTATTTCGTGAGGGCTTCTATTTAAGCCCTATGGTCGGCTAAAGCTCACTTCCTTGGCCATTTGCATTGACATAGCAACCTTGTGAGCTTAGCCAAAGCCCTCCCACTCATCTCCATCATTGATTCATCATCTTTGTGAGATTGGGAGAGAATCTAAGTGCATTGTTTGAGTGTTTGCATCTAGAGGCACTTGGTGTTCGTGTTTCGCTGCGGAATTCGCTTGTTACTCTTGGTGGTTGCCGCCACCTAGACGGCTTGGAGCAGCGAGGATCGTCGAGCGGAGGGTGGTGATTGTGAGGGGTTCTTGACCTTTCCCCGACGGAGAGCCAAAAGGTACTCTAGTGGATTGCTCGTGGCTTGTGTGATCCTCATCTTGTGTTGGTTGTGCGGCACCCTATTGAGGGTTTAGCGTGTGATGCCAATTAGCGCGTGAACCTCCAAGTGAGTGAATCGCCACAACGAGGACTAGCTTGCTGGCAAGCAAGTGAACCTCGGAAAAAAAGCATTGTGTCATCATTTGATTCTGAGGTGATTGGACTTCATTGTTATTCATTCTTGTGATTGATTGGGTCTTTCCTCGACACGGCGGTATAACCTTCTTGCTCACACTCCTTACATTACCGCAAACTAGTTGTCAAGCTCTTTAGTGTAGCTAGTTGTGAGAGCTTGTTAGTTTGGTTAGTGTGGCTCTTTAGTTAGCTTTTGAGAGCACACTAACTTAGTGTAGTGTCATAGCTATTGAGTGGATAGAAATTATATAAACTAGAATTATGGTAGGTGACTTGCTATTTTAGTAGGCTAGCGCAACACTTGCTTCGTTTCATAATTTTCTAACCGGATTGTTAAGTGTTGTTGTAGAAATTTTTAATAGGCTATTCACCCCCCCCCCTCTAGCCATTAGGACCTTTCAGTCGCCCCGATTTTCAGTGGACTGAGGAGCCAACGACTCTATTTCGTATGGGCTTCTATTTAAGCCTCAAGGTCGGCTCAAGCTCACTCTCTTGGCCATTTGCATTGACATAGCAACCTTGTGAGCTTAGGCAAAGCCCTCCCACTCATCTCCATCATTGATTCATTATCTTTGTGAGATTAGGAGTGAATCCAAGTGCATTGCTTGAGTGTTTGTATCTAGAGGCACTTGGTGTTCGTGTTTCGTTGCGAGATTCTCTTGTTACTCTTGGTGGTTACCGCCACCTAGACGGCTTGGAGCAGCGAGGATCGTCGAGCGGAGGTTGGTGATTGTCTCCGACTTCGATCGTGGTGATTGTGAGGGGTTCTTGATCTTTTCTCGGTAGAGAGCCCAAAGGTACTCTAGTAAATTGCTCGTGGCTTGTGGGATCCACATCTTGTGTTGGTTATGCGGCACCCTATTGAGGGTTTGGCGTGTGATGCCAATTAGCACATGAACCTCCAAGTGAGTGAATCGCCACAACGAGGACTAGTTTGTCGGCAAGCAAGTGAACCTCGGTAAAAAAATCATTGTGTCATTGATTGATTCCGAGATGATTGGTCTTCATTGGTATTCACTATTATGATTGATAGGTTCATTCCTCGACTCGGCGGTATAACCATCTTGGTCTCTCTCTTTACATTACCGCAAACTAGTTGTTAAGCTCTTTAGTGTAGCTAGTTATGAAAACTAGTTAGTTTGGTTAGTGTGGCTCTTTAGTTAGCCTTTGAGAGCACACTAACTTAGTGTAGTGGCATAGCCATTGTGTGGATAGAGACTATATAAACTAGAATTATGGTAAGTGTCTTGCATTTTTAGTAGGCTAGCGCAACACTCACTTCGTCTCATATTTATCTAACTGGTTTATTAAGTATTGTTGTAGAAATTTTTAATAGGCTATTCACCCCCCTCTAGCCATTAGGACCTTTCAACCAATCCCGATATGACCTCGAACCGATCAGATCCAGATACACACAAGAGCAGCAACTGAGCTCTTGGCACTCGTTTATTCTTTTCACTAGAGATTTGGGACGTGTCCTTCTCTCGTCTGTTTGTAACCCCTATTACAAACTTTCAGTGCTAGTAACACGAGCTGCAACGACAAACTGGTCGTAGGAATATTCTGCCCGAACCAGTATAAACCTCATGTCATCTAAGCACACCATCCGAGCCAGACGCGTAATATTAGAAATTTACTCGTCGATGGTAACTCAAAACACCGACACTAAATTTTATTAGTTTTTAATTTAAACTACAAAATTTTAGACCATAAAATCTAAACAAGGTCAAGCAGCGGCGAGACGTCAAGTTGATTGTAGGCAGTTATAAAAAAAAGTTGATTGTAGTTGAAGGTCGTCGTCGCCTCCAAATTGCAGCTCAGTCCCAGCTTGGCAAGTTGGAGGCTGGGTAGGAGGGCACTCGCACCAGCGCGCGGAGCACCTGCGCCTAGCTCCCGGAGTAAGCCAAAACGTCAAGCTACAACAAGCCTACCGACTCACGGGTCACACGGGGCACGTCTGGCGAGCGTCGCGGCGCCACGCCGCTACGTCAGGTCATCGCATGTAGCAGTCGCCGGTCGGCAACCACCCATCGCAGCGTCGGTTGACGACAGACCACTGCTAGTACTGGCCGTCAGTCCCATACTCCGATGAGGTGCTCAATTGCAGTAGGATCACCGCCAAGTGCTTAAAGCCGCCTCCGGCGATAGCGATGAGTCGATCACGTACCGCCTCCGGCTGCACGGTAGGTTCAGCGGCGCACCGGCGCCGGTAACGCAGCAAGGCTCCATCATGGGCCTAGGAATGGACAATGCCGAAAAGAAGCCGGACAGGCGAGAGCATTGTTCGATATGGGCCAGAGAGAGAACACGGTGACGTGAAGCCAGGACCAAACATATCTGACCCAACGGGAAGGTCTGGCTGGGCCTACTGGGCTAGATAATCTACTCAATAGCCCGTCCAACACGGCGGCGCGTGCGTACGCAATTGGCCCACAGAAACGCTCACGGCCCCAACGTTTTTCCAGCGAAGCTTCGGCGGCAGCCGCGGTGGCCAGTTGGCCACTGGCCAGCCTTCGCATGTGCGACTGTGCGAGAGAGGAATCGGGGAAGGGTTTGCCGTTTTGGCACTGTGCGATGTCGTGCTGTGCACCACCTCAAAAGGCCGGAAGGATCCACAGATTTTCTACACAGCCAGGTCATTAGGAATCATCACAATAACGAAACAACGCTGTCCTGTTTCTGCATTGACTTTATTCCCTTCCAACAAGGAAAGGTTATGCTTAGGCTTAGCAGAGTTGGCTTAACATAGTGTCCAATAAAAAATGTCATATTGAGGTTCAAATCATTCGTCCTGTTCGGCTGATGGTTTCTGCGACTGATAAGCCGACTGATGCTGTTTTGAATGACACTGTACCATGGTTGATAAGCAGTTCAAGCGAACATGGCGATTGAAATTGTTCTCCTTGGATCAACAAAATTTATACACACATAAGCTATTATTCGTTATCAGATCTTCTAAAATATTTCCTTTTCTCAAAATGGTGTAGGACTTGAAATCCATCTTTTTAGAGTTTGGAACTACCTGTGCAAACAAACGATCATGGAGTTGAGGAGGGCATCGTGGTCATCTCGCCACCCACGTTGCGCCGCGCCCGGCCCGGTTCGTTAATACCACCAGTCCACACCACCACTGTTCCTGGCCCTAGAGGAGTCCTGGGCGGCTCGACCTGACCAAACCCCCGCCCGCCGGCCTGCCCTTGCCTTGTGCTCTAGTCCTCCCGAGACCGTTCCAAATTCCTCCTCGCGTTCATATTCCACGCGGCGACGTCGCCATCGCGGCCGCCGCTCCGCTCCGCTTCCCCTTCCTTCGCCTATAGGTAACCGCTGCGGCCGCCTCCCCAAACCCAAATCCTAAGCCTTTCCCTCGCACGCGCGCGGCTCTCTCTGCTGCGCCGCGGCTCGCTTGACCCCCCGCAGATCGCCGGCGATGGGATCCAAGGACCAGGGCGGAGGGGCCGCCTCCTCGGGCGGCGGCTTCTTCTCGTCGTTCGCCGCCGGCATGCGTAGCTGGGGCACCGCCGTCCACAAATCCGTCAACGGGTGAGTCTTCTGCCCACCTGCTTCCTCTCCTCCCCTCAGATCCGCATCGAGCTACCCGTTAGAGCTCTCCCCGAGCTGATCGGCGGTGATCGTGGCCTCCCCACCCCGTGATCTGATGCTCCTGCGTCGGATCCCAGCTGCTGCTGCTGATTCCGCCGGGTGATCCTGGTGAACTGCGAGTCCAGTGTTTCCGCTTAAGTTCTAAGCTTCGGTATTTAGTAACTGTATATGCTATGATTCGACCAGTAGCTTTCGAATTATGATACAGTGATATATGTGCTACTTATGTGATTCCATATATTCTCACTTAGAGTGATAATGAAGTGGATGATTGGTTGAATGATAATTGCTTATATGTATCTAGTATCTAACATGTGATGCTTTCAAGTGTACACGGTATGTACATGCGCAATATGGAGTTTCTATTTCTGTGATGTGATCTGTACTGAATTCGATGCCAACAGTTCCTCCTAGATTTTGGTTCGGCCTGCTTCAATATGGTCAACATCTGTTGCCTCTTTGCTTTTCCCTAAGTTTAGCCTTTTGCTCCACTTTGTTCTTAGGCTTTGCCTTTGTAGACTTGAATTTTCATGAAATGCATGTGGTCAATGAGCTGTCACTGGCATCCTATGTAAAGATATTGTGCTGTAGTAATTAGGACGGGTTTCTGTTACTTGCCATTTTGTAACAGTTGTTATGCAATGTCTGTAGGCTGCTTGGTTATGAAGGCCTTGAAGTTATTAACCCCGATGGAGGCACAGATGATGCCGAAGAAGAAGCTTTGAAGGGACGATGGAAGCAGGAGGTAAAGAATTGCGAGTCATCATCGAATAATGTATTGCTAGAGAGTCATGAGGATAAATTTTATTTGAACAATACCTGCAAATTGGGAGGGTGTTCTGCATGGATATCCAGTCTTGATGGAAAATTGATTGGTTTTGTCTGTTCTTTTTTCAATCTGGTGGAGCAAAGTCGGATAGCATCAACAAATGTAAATTTCATGTAAAATTTTCTGTTCAAATCAGCTTACTGAACTAAAAAGATACCTCAAAGTCAAAGCTGAAGAAAATGCACTTTTTTTCCTGACAAATTAGTTCCTTAAGTTTCACTTCCCTTTCTTTTGTTTCAGAAAAAGTTCACAGCTATATTCTACTTCTACACATTGGATGTCACAAAACTCTTAAATATGCCACATGGTTGGCCACTGTGTGGCGTTTCAATTGGCTAAACAGCTGTTTAGACAAAAAGTTCCCACAACCACATGTTTATAGTAGTCCTGTTACGTTTGCAGGCTTGCTCTTAGGTCATGAAGTAGAGAGTAACTTGGTTTAAATACTGTACCTTTTGACAAATATAATTTGGCATGAACATGGATATTGAAGGTTATACTCTAAAATGCAGTCTCACTACATTATCGACTCATGAAAAATCTGTTTTCTTACTATATGATTATGTTTAGTAGAATCTATGATTTCATGATCGTAGTAGTTATGATCCTACTATTTATGATCCTATACTTGGAGTTCCGATCCGATTCAGGATCACGATTTTAACAAGCATGTGCGGTTAATTTGCAGGATCGTGATAGCTATTGGAAGATGATGCACAAGTACATAGGATCAGATGTTACATCACTTGTGACACTTCCAGTCATAATTTTTGAGCCAATGACAATGCTTCAGAAAATGGCCGAGGTTTGTACTATGTTCTGAATTAGACTTATTGAGATTTACACTGCCCATCTACAACTGAAGGATGTGTCTGCAATTGTTTGGTCCTTGTCGCCTTTTAAAAAATATTTTATGCATAAACTGTATACAATGTTGTAGCAATTTTCTCCTTCACCAAATATTTACTTATGTATAAGGTTAGAAGACCTATACAGGCTACCTTATGGTTGTTTGGTAGCAATTATTTGTATGGCAAACTCTTGATGGCGTGTTTCTGTGATCTTGATGCGTGTTTGATGGGATCTCGCCTAGTTTTGAATGGAGTTTTAGAGTTCATCAGGGAGGAGTTACATTTCTGGTGTTTAGCTGGGGCTCAAGGGGTTTCTCATCTCCTCGCCCTTGGGTCCAGTATTAGTTAGTTTGTTGGTCAAAGCTGTTTGGTGTTTGTAGTCTTTGGCAAGTTTCTTTTTCTTTTTCTTTTTGTTTGTGTGATCTAGCTGTATGGTGAGTTTGGGTGTTGTGGTTTGGGTAACCCTTTGCTTCTTAATATATTGATATGCAGATCTCCTGCGTATTCGAGAAAAAAAAATGAAAAAACATGGAGCTAAATAATTTAATGCGACCCTGTTATTGGGGATGGTGTTAGAAGTTTTGATTTAGTCACCCAGTATGTGATACAACTATACAAGTATCTTCCTATTCTTTAATGAGCCCCATACATAAAATAACCTGTCTTTATCTTTCATGTGATGATTCGACGATTCATGCTAATGTTTTTACATGTTCCTACTGAATGCAGTTGATGGAATACTGTGAATTGTTAGACAAAGCAGATGAATGTGAGGATCCATACATGCGTATGGTTTATGCTTGTGAGTTTTCTCCTTCCCTTAACTTGCGCACCATTCTATGCCATATCATGGTTGACTGAGCTCTTAATCAATTTTTTTTTTCAGCTACATGGGCTGTTTCGGTGTACTTTGCATATCAACGCACATGGAAGCCTTTTAATCCTATCCTTGGAGAGACTTACGAGATGGTTAACCACCAAGGCATTTCATTTCTTGCTGAGCAGGTCGGTGATACAAATGTCATTGCAGATATCTTGAATGGAGACAACTTTGTCAACAAATTTTGCTAATTATGCATTTTTGTACCCTTATTTTATCAGGTAAGCCATCATCCCCCAATGGGTGTTGCTCACTGCGAGAATGAACATTTTACTTATGATATCACGTCTAAGTTGAAGACCAAGTTCTTGGGAAATTCAGTGGAAGTTTACCCAGTTGGAAGGTGAATTGTTAGAATTGTATTTATTTCTTGGAGATCCGTATGCCTTAAAAGTCTGTTGAGCTATCTGAGCTAGTGGAATAAAATGCAAAGCCTTTTTGAAGGCTGAATTGGGACCAGTTTTGTAATTCAGTAAATCTAACCCCTGTAATATGATTTCCATGTCACAGGACTAGAGTGACACTTAAAAAATCTGGTGTCGTGTTGGATTTGGTGCCACCGCTAACAAAGGTTAACAACCTGATATTTGGGCGCACTTGGGTTGATTCTCCTGGAGAGATGGTCATGACAAACCTGACAACTGGAGACAAAGTTGTGCTATATTTCCAGCCATGCGGCTGGTTTGGGTATGATATTGACCATCAATTTATTCTTGCATTTGTGGTTTGTTGATAGTTTCTATTGCCAAATTATTTAATTTCAGTACTAACTCGCTTTATGCATTTATTATATTACTGTTTGCTGGAAGGGTCGTGCAGTTAATTCAGTTCTTTTTATTTTCTTATAGCTCTCTCAATCCAGTTTGTATTGCTTTGTCAAGGCTTGTCTCAATTTATCCTAATATTTCAGGGCTGGCCGTTACGAGGTGGATGGGTACGTGTACAGTGCAGCAGAAGAACCCAAAATAATGATTACAGGGAAATGGAATAAGTCTCTGAGTTGCCAACCATGTGACCAAGAAGGCGATCCTCTTCCAGGCACGGAGCTGAAGGAGGTCGTACTTTCTTTCACTTTCTGTTACTATAGATAACTTCTGTTATATATCCAGCAGATGTGATGCCGGTCACATATTTGTGGATAACTTATGTACTGAACTGGTCATACTTAACTTACTGCAGATCTGGAGAGTTGCTCCTACCCCACAGGGTGACAAGTATCAGTACACACACTTTGCACACAAAATAAACAGCTTCAACACGGCACCTAAGAAGCTGTTGGCATCTGATTCGCGGTTGAGGCCTGATAGATATGCCCTCGAGAAGGGTGACATGTCTAAGTCTGGCGCAGAGAAGAGCAGGTATTTTCCCCTTTCCTCTACTCTGCTTTATGATTGTAATTGGAATTTAGAACGGCCTGTTTGCCTGCCTTCAGTTTTGACATCACCCCTGAGTTTCTCTGCAAACTTTCAGGCTTGAGGAACAACAGAGAGCTGAGAAAAGAACTCGAGAGGCCAAGGGCGAGCAATTTACTCCAAGATGGTTCAACATGACAGATGTGGTTGCTCCTACACCGTGGGGTGACCTGGAAATTTATGAATACAACGGCAAATACACAGACCACCGGGCTGCCATAGACAGCTCCAATGTCACCGACGAGACAGATGTCACTTCAATCGAGTTCAACCCATGGCGATATGGTAGCTCATCTTCTCAATGATTCTCCGTGGCCAGAAGCTGCCATGCCGTCTATGCTCATTGTGTAAAATGCTTCCAGGCCTGGCCTTGCTGGTTTGTTGTGCCATCAGCGGTTTTCATGCCCTTGTAGTATTAATGACCTTCCCCTTTCCCTTCAATGCTACAATTATTCAGGAAGTGGTGTATTTTATGTAGTCTGTGTACTGTCGTAAATCTAGCAGAAATTGCAGAGTTTCCTTGAGCCTTTGGGTGGTTGTATTTATGCGTGATAACTGAGAAGTGAAGGTAACGACGACGCAGATACGGATGGAGCAGAGCTTTTGTGTTGTCAGTTGTGCTTGATTTACGACTAGCCCTCTGCCTCTGTTTACTGCAGCTGAGTATGGTGGTCTGCCCTCCGTGCAACAGCATAGATCGCAAGGTTTTCCGAGTTGTAGGGTGGTTGTATTTATGCTTGATAAGCAGAGTTAACGACACTGTTATGATGTAGCGCCATACGTTTGATATGGGACTAGCCTTTTTCCTTCCTTTTACTACATTGTGGAGTCAGGTGATCTGTCATCTGAGGCTCTGTGCAAAAGGTGAAACCATAGGGCCGGTGTAGCGTTTGAACTGTGTACTTGATCTGATCGGAGAGGCCGGCAAGATTGGGTGATTAGATCGTGAATGACAAGCGGTTTGTGGGTCATTGTGTTCGATGGGCGGCACTAATTGCACTGTTTGGTGATGAATGAGGCAGTGGACCTGTGTGCGCGCCTGCTCTTGGCGTCTTGCATAGCTGCGTCTGGTACAGGCCCCCACGCGGTCCAGTTTCATTTCACCAAATGCGAAGGCAGTGCCTTGGGCTTGGGCTATACAATATGCTTGGTAACTATGCTCAACAGTTCACTTTGCTGTCTTCAGGGCTCGAAGACTACAGGAAAAAAAAAGTACAACAAGCTATTTATTCCTTACAGGAGCTCAGAGAAATTCTCACGTTCTAGACTGGCTTTGTTGTTTCTCCCTCCTAAACTTTTATCCCTCTCACATCGAATGTCTGGACACATGCATAGAGTATTAAATATAGACTAATTATAAAACTAAATACACAGATTGATACTAATTTGCGAGACGAATTTTTTAAACCTAATTAGCCCAGGATTTGACAATGTAGTGCTACAGTAAACATATGCTAGTGACGAATTAATTAGGCTTAATAAATTCGTCTCGCAGATTACTGAGAACTTGTGTAATTTATTTTATTATTAGTATCCAAACACTCAATGTGACATCCTCATGTGACATCCAATGTAACACCTCTAAACTTTAGCCCCTAGGGGGTGTTTAAATTCATGAGCTAAAGTTTAGGTGTCACATAGGGTTGTCACATTAGATGTCACATGGGGGTGTCACATTGAGTGTTCGGATAGTAATAATAAAACAAATTACACATCGAATGTTTGGATAGTAATAATAAAACAAATTACACAAGTTCTTAGCAATCCGCAAGACGAATTTATTAAGCCTAATTAATACGTCATTAGCACATGTTTACTATAGCACCACATTGTCAAATCATGGATTAATTAGGATTAAAAAATTTGTCTCGTAAATTAGTCTCAACCTGTATATTTAGTTTCGTAATTAGTCTATATTTAATACTCTATGTATATATTAAATATCCGATGTGACAGAGACTAAAATTTAGAAGGGGAAAATAAACACAGCCGAGGCACGACTCCGTAGAAACTTAGAAAAAGTGTGAATCCTTCTAGGCGTTCTCAGTTCACTTAAACCTTCATTCAGACCCACTTTATAGACGCGTCTGAGGCCAACTCCTCGGCCTAGTTGTGAATTCTCTCTGTTTTTTTTCCAAGATAATAGAACTGTGAATTCTCGTAGATTGGATGTTAACAGAAGCACCTCTGTACGCTGAAATTTGATTTATGCTGAAATATGCTAATGATGAATTAATTAGGCTTAATAAATTCGTCTCGCGGATTACTGAGGACTTATGTAATTTATTTTATTATTACTATCCGAACACTTAATGTGACACCCCATGTAACACCCGATGTAACACCTCTAAACTTTAACCCTAGGGGATGTTTAAATTCAGGGGCTAAAGTTTAGGTGTCACGTGGGGTGTCACATTGAATGTCACGTGGGGGTGTCACATCGAGTGTTCGGATAGTAATAATAAAATAAATTACACATCGAGTGTTCGAATAGTAATAATAAAACAAATTACACAAGTCATTAGTAATCCGCGAGACGAATTTATTAAGCCTAATTAATACGTCATTAGCACATGGTTATTGTAGCACCACATTGTTAAATTATGGACTAATTATAATTAAAAAATTTATCTCGCAAATTAGTCTCAATCTGTATATTTAGTTTTGTAATTAGTCTATATTTAATATTTTATGCATGTGTCAAATATCCGATGTGACAGGAACAAAAGTTTAGGAGAAAAAAATAAACGCGGCCGAGCCACGACTCCGTAGAAACTTGGAAAAAGTGTGAAGCCTTCTAGGCCTTCTCAGTTCACTTAAACCTTCGTTCAGACCCACTTTATAGACGCGTCTGAAGCCAACTCCTCGGCCTAGTTGTGAATTCTCTCTGTTTTTTTTTCAAAATAATGGAACTGTGAATTCTCGTAGATTGGAGGTTAACAGAAGCTCCTTTGTATGCTGAAATTTAATTTACGCTAATATTTATGTTAAAATGTTGTGAGAGAAAAACATCGTTTCATAGTTAAAAAATAGTACTGAATAAGCTTAAGTAAATAGGGCATAGAATTCAAAAAAAAAAGACGGGAAAAGGGGAAAAAAACGGACGAGACGATAACGGTCACGTGCAGTGCGTCGCAAACGAAGAAGGAACAGATGGAAGGCAGGCTCGAGGAACGGTGTCCACTAGTCCCTCCAGAAGATGTGATGATTGGATCAAGCACGAAAGTTGGGCGGGCTCCCTCGGTGGTCCTCCTCCGTCCCTCCACTCCAATTCAGATCACTTCTTGCCAGGTGCCAATCCCGACGCGCGCGCGGGCTCGCCACGAGAACCTGCAGCTACCACCGGGGAGCTCCGGCGGACCGGCGAACGATGCCGCGCGCTGCTTTTGCTACCAGCACATCATACGTCGTCCGTCGTTGTCACGACGATCGGGACTCGAGAGCCGGTCCGAGCGCACAAAATTCGCGGCGGTTTTTCGAGGAGGAACAACAAGCTCAGCAGCTTCTTCCTTCCTTGCGTGAAGTGGCCGCCTGTCTGTCCACTTGTGCTGTGGCCTAAATTGAGGTTTTACCTGAAGAAGAAGGCGTGGTTCTGTGGTTGGATCCAACATGCATGGAAATGGAGGAGTTTGGCGCCTAACCTAACCCAAGTAGTACCCAACCCAACGCAACGTAAACTGTCGCTCTCCGGCTGTAGCCGGGCGGCCACCATCCCCATCCGTCCCCAACCCAGCCGGAACCACTTCCGTCAGGCCTCTCCTCTCTAGCTAGAGAGAGGGACAATGGACCACTCGCCGGCCCCACCCTTCCCTACCTTGGACAGCATCTTTCGGCCACGTGACGCTCCACTCTTTCCCCTCAGGCTCAGACTGAGACGCCGACTCGGTACATTTCATTTCCTCTGTTCCGCGGTAAAACCATCGCCGTCACCAAAGGGAAGAAACAAAAGAAGACGGCGAGATTTAACAAATTTGGCAGTTGATCGAGGCGCCTGACATTTAACAAATAAATTCCAGGTGTCAGGTTGTAACATCGAAAATGAAAACATCAAAGAGCAGCATTATGTTTGGTGTTCCGGTCGTCTACAACATCGAAGAACAGCATCTGCAACCTCGCCTGATTAAACAATCCAAACAGGAGGTGTGAGCAAATTTAGCTTAATCAACAGCCGTGGCCCTTTGCAAGGACCGCGTCGAGCACGTTGGGTACACCCTGTGCCGCTTGGCCCACGCGGGGCGGCCGGGCTGGGGCTGCCCCGCCCCGCCCCGCCACCGCGCCCTGAAGTGAACTGGAAGCGCACACGGGACAGCGCGGCGCACGAGCGGACGCGGACGGCAACGACACATGAGTACATGACATGACTCCCATGAGGCCAAGGGCACTTGGTGCTCGGTCTGCCGCTGCCACTGGCATTGGCACTGGCACCAAACCACCACCGACTGGCCCCCGCCCCGCCGCCCGTCACGTTCCTAAACCTACCTGGGCAATGCCAGCCATCCCCCTTTTTTTCACTGGGTTGCGTTGGGTTGGCACGGCAAAGCGTCCTCCTCCTCCGTCGGCACGTGTGCCGCACTGGCCCGGCACCAGTCCACCTCGCTCTTCCCGTTTGGGTTCATCGGCTTTGGTGGCTTGACTATTTACTATTTAGGCGCCGAGATGCATCAGGGATAGAGCTATGGCTATGGGAGGGAACTCAGGCCTCAGGGAGGAGACCAGCACCAGCTTCCCCAGAGCTTAGTTTGGAAGAAAAAGGGAGAGAAATGTTTTGAATGCCACATGCGTCCATGTGTACTTGGAGGCGACGAATTATTGGCTCCAACTTGGATGCATGGATCGACATATGGATGAGAATCGGGCGAGGCTCTGTGCCTCTGTCCGTATCCATCCACTCCGGAAGTGGGACGCGAAATTCTCAAACTTTCAGGGATCAGAACTGCTGGGCCTTCAATAGATCCAGTGATTCTGTTCGGAACGCAGGAAATTTTATAGGATTGCATGCAAGCATTTCGTCAAAATAACCATATCAATCTATTTGATCCAAACATGACCTGATCAACAGCCTTTTACAGAACTCGCCATGCAGATGTCTCTCACTGCCTCTGTCTCTCTCTCAGTGTCCATCCACGGCTGTATAAATAGAAACAAATCACGCATCAACAAGAATTCGAAGCACAGTTGTTTCTTTATCGGATCTGTCGGCTCTCATTGTGTGCCGTTAGATGTGGGGTCTCTGCGGGACTGCATTGCATGATGGAATCTCTGCATGGACACATCAGCCATCAGACAGCCTTGCTAGTAATCTAAT